AGGAATGGAAGTTGGACACACTTTGTGATTTGTATGAGACACTCACCATTACGCAGGCAGTTATCTTTCTTAATACAAGGCGCAAGGTGGACTGGCTCACTGAGAAAATGCATGCCAGAGACTTCACTGTTTCTGCTCTGGTAAGAGGTGTTGCTACTAACACTTGTGAGAATGTACGTTCACTAAATAAAGCAGGATTCAGACTACAGCATGGCTGTTAAGTGCTGTGCTGTCGTTCCCCCTGCTCAAAATAAAGTTGTTTCTTAACTATCCCTGTCTGCTCTGCCTGTGTAGCAGCCAGGGACGCTTGGTCTCATACATGTTGAGACTAAATGTTGGCCTGGCAGGTGTGATTCTTGGGCATTTTTGTTCACAGCATGGTGATATGGATCAGAAGGAGAGAGATGTAATCATGAGGGAATTCCGATCAGGGTCAAGCCGTGTTCTGATCACTACTGACTTGTTGGTAAGTTGATTTCTTAAATTCTTTTTATATAATCCACCAAAAGTTAATTTTGAGGGTAAGGTTTTTAATAACCTGTACCAATTTAGGCTGTTTGGGAGACTAAAATTACCACACTCCACGGTGAACTATGCTACTTTGTATAGTTCATTACTATTTTGTGGTTACATCACCTACTTAATCAGTTTTTTTTTTTTTTTTTAATTTGAAACATCCTTTGTATTTCAGGCTCGTGGAATTGATGTGCAACAAGTGTCTTTGGTTATAAACTATGATCTACCTACCAATCGTGAAAACTATATTCACAGGTGAGGGGAGCATCTTGACCGTGATCATTTGTTTAACTGGTGAAGTTCATGTGTTTTCTTGCCTATGATGATTTCCTAGGAAAGGTAATGGAAAATCAGGGCGTAGATTGAGAGAAAAGTCAGTTTATATTACTGAGATGCAGTTACAATTACATTTGGGAAGACTGGCCAGACCAAAGTGGGAAACTTGTGCCGTCTGAGCAGACCGCACACCCCAACAGACCAGGTTGCTCTGGGCTCTGATTGGAGTTTTGTTAGTGGTGCTCTTGAGTCTGTGCTTTTTCTTGGCGATTCTTCTATAGTTGGGATTTTTCTTGGTGTTGCCTGGTAGCATTTTGAGTGATCCTTGGTTTAGTCGTAGTGGCTTTATTCCTAAATAAATTGGAATTGTACTTTGTTATATGATGTAAAAAAACTTTTTAAAAAATACAGGAGTCGATAGCAGCAGTTGATGACGAGATGGCGCTCAGAAGCGGCGTTGACGTAATTTAGGACGTGGAGTCATAAGCGAAACAGCACACTGTTTGAATAAAGAGCGAGTCG